GAGACAGAAACATCTGAAACTTAAAACTGACAGTGTAACATTATGTATCTACCCTTTTATTATCAAATTTAAATATTCTTATTATTTTTAGATAAGGCCCTGTCGTACTATAATATTTAAACAACTTATGCCAACTAATAAACATGTTAATAAATGACTCTTATAAGATTTATGTTGGTTCAAACTTTTAGCATTACAGTATGTGTGTCCAAAAAATGTTTGTTTTATTCCATCTTCATTGTAGACATCATCAATCATCTTTCAAATTTTCACCAATGATCTGAACCGTTGGGGTGACAGGCGGTGAGAAAGGAAATTGAGATAGTTGGAGTGAGGTCAGAGTGAGATAGAGGAGGATAACTTGCTTTGACAGAAAGAAAAAGACTTTATTCATTATTCTTCTTGGACATACAAGTAAACAGATCGTAGAAACTTCAAGCACAATCCTCTGATGGTCACATGACTGCCCCAGTTTTTATTTCAGGCTTTAGACGAGCTCATCTGAACAATACCTGACATAATGAGGCACATCCTGAGTTCCTATGGTCCAATGATAGAGAACAATCTTTAACAAGGATTCATTAAACCAACAGAACCATCAGAACCTACCAATGTTCCCACTGGGAATATTGGACTTAAGGAAGTAAACTTTATTTATATAGCACCTTTCACAGACAGGAACACCACAAAGTGTTTAACAGAGAAAATAACTAAATGAAAACATTACACAGATACAACTAAGAACAATAAAAACTAAAGCTAACTAAAAGCCTGTCTGAATAAAAATGTCTCCATGTTTTGTAGAATCTGAGCAGCGAAGGGACAGATGGAGAGTTCCAGAGCCTCGGGGCCACCACCTGATAAAACACACCAGTCTGTGGGGAATGAAGGGATAAAATGTACAAGTTTCACTTTTTGACTAGAATTACTAAAACAAATCAAATGACCAGAACCTGTACCTGTACACCTGTACCTGTACACCTGTACACCTGTACCTGTACACCTGTTCACCAGAACCTGTACCTGTACACCTGTACACCAGAACCTGTACCTGTACACCAGAACCTGTACCTGTACACCTGTACACCAGAACCTGTACCTGTACACCAGAACCTGTACCTGTACACCAGAACCTGTACCTGTACACCTGTACACCAGAACCTGTACCTGTACACCTGTACACCAGAACCTGTACCTGTACACCAGAACCTGTACCTGTACACCAGAACCTGTACCTGTACACC